CCGATCGCCACGCGGCACACAATGCAAAAGCCTTTTTGCCAATCGCTACGCTTATCGGCATGCCATATAGTTGCGGCGTCGGCCACCGACGAGAGCTTTTGCTAATCTTTGGTTCCTCGGCGATCGGCAAAGATTTTTTTTTTTCAAAAATTGTTTGCCGGTCGCCGCCAACTTCAGCGATCGCAAAAGAAAGAAAATATTTTTTTGAAATGTTCTTTGCCGATCGCTTTGAGTTGCAATCGGCAAAGGTTTGACCCTTTGCCGATCGCCTCCCATTGTAGTCGGCAAAGACTCATCTCTGGGGTTTTGCCCGACTTTGCCGATCATAAACGATCAACAAAAGTTGGAAATTTTTTTTGCTTTTGTTTTCTGTTTTCTCGCATCAAAACCCTGCAAAATCACAAATTATAATCCAATTTCACCAGAAGCACCGGTAGCACCATTTATATCACAATTTCATCACATTTGTCGCCAACATCACCACATATATCACAATAAAGCACAACATCACATATATCTCACATATATGTCACAATAACAACCACACAAGTGCATTACAACCATCACATGAAGTCCAACACGTCGAACACCACAAGTCGACGTCCATCACACGAAGTTCAACATAACAAGTCTAGGTCCATAACGAAGAAAAGAAATACATGACAACAACTTCGACGATACGGTGGATACATGATAACTGAATCGACAAGTACCTAGCTCATCGCGCCGTCCCCGGTCTCGTCGTCCGCTCCGCCCCCAGAGCCCCCAGGGTTTGCCCACGGAAACCCCCTTGACCAAATCGAGGCGCTGCAGCACAGATCGCCACCCTCCGCAAGCGCCGCCGCCACGAGTATCGTCGGAGGAGGGCCAATGGAGGTGGATACGGTGGATAGGGTGCAGGTGGTGGATACGACATCATCGATGGCCGGGACCTCCGAGACGGGTTCGAACCCACCGATCGTACTGCACAAGTTAAACGCCAAGTGATGTCATTAGTATCTCTGACATGGACGCACAAGTTAAAGCAAGAGTCAATATACTCACCGGGGTCCTCTAGGAGCGGCAGTGGGAGCAGCCTGGGAAAAAACTCGGAGGAGGAGGCGGTGGAGCGAACATTGAAGAGGAGGCGGTGTAGATGCCCCAAGCGCTCTGCATGGACCGGAAGAAGCTGGCCATGTTCGCATCCGAGTGTTGTAGTGCTGCTGCGAAGCTTTTGCCGGTAAGCCATCTGTTGCGCCATCATCTCAAGGCAACGTGGCGATCCTCTCCTCCATCTTGGCCTCCATCCGGGCCTGCAATATTACATCCGCAGTGTTGATTGTATGTACAGTGCGAAACGAGTGAACATTTAACGAAACGGCACTTACCGTGACGCCGATCGCCGCCGGGGCTTCACGGGGATGTCATTTGGAGCTCGTGGGCGTGGATCGAACTCAGGTCAGAGGAACTGGGATGGGTCGAGGGCGCTGTGGGCCATGTAGTATGTTGCGTCTTTGCTTCCTCTGGTCCCAACCTCTGCAGGAGGTCTCGTGTCGAGGGGCTCGGCGGTGGGGTCGAACGTCTCCCGAAGTATTTGGCGAGCCGCGACGGTGTACTCGGTGGCCTTCTCGTGGCGGTGGGGTTGGTGTACGATCGGGCCCGTCCCTCGGGTTGTAGACGTTGTTCGGATCCGTCGCCTTGCCCTTGTGAGAGAGGAGGTACGCGGTGTACTCGTTGATTTCACGCCCACCGTGCGTCTGCGTCGCATTGAAAACACAAACATGGTTACAAGTATTGACAATTGAGCGCAAGGATTAAGACATGAACGGACGATACCCATCTTGTCGCGAATCGGGCGAGGGGCTGATTCCCTTGGTGGTGTGACACCCTACGCATCTGCTGGCTGGCGGCCGGCCGACGGTTCGGCGCCTCGCGCGCGCCTCATCCAGGCGCCACATGCGCACAATCTCCGCCCAGCATTCCTCGTGGTTGTCGCACCACGACGGACACACACCGCATGACATCAAGTATTTGACATGCGAGAAGATTAGTGTAATGTTTCATGAAGGAATCGAACGAATGTTGTCATACTTAATTACCGCTTCAGATTGCGCTTGGGTGAGGTCGGCCTCCCTCGAGTTCATTCTCTGGCGGATTTGGGGCTTCTTGATGTTCTCTCCAAGCACGTTGGCGTGGAAGTCGCGGATGGCCTGTATGCGCGCCTCCCCGCTGTTCTCCCGATACAAGTCCCGGTGGGGAGAGTGTGTATCCAGAGAACAACGGGGAGGTCCTGCCGAAACTCCGACTCGGACGGGAGCGGAACATGGGAGCTAACCTCGTCTCGCACATCCTCGGGCTGTCCAAATAACGTGGACAATCCGAAATGGATCTGGTTATACATATCGAAGAACGATACTTCCAACCGTATCCGTTTGGACGGGAGACGCCTAACCGGGTAACGCGACCTATGACTACATGTGGCGAAAAGGGGTCATACTGCAGCAGTGCCGGTGAAGAAAGGCTAGCGGGGCAGTGCCGAGTCGTGCTCCTCCGGCTAGCCTCCAATGGGAGCCCTCCTGAAAAAGAAAAACAATTAGTGAGAACGAAAAATTTCGGCAGCACCTCCCCTGTACGGGAAGGTTACCAAACCTGCAAGAAAAGACGGCACGATGGCCGACAAACACATATACATGTCACGCACGATGGCCGACAACCACAAATGTATTTCCAAAAACATGCGAAGAATATAAGCGGTATTAACAAAGTAAACTACTACTACTAGTAGTACTACTACCTCGTCGTCACGGACGGCGTCACCGGCGCGTGGAGCAGAGGCGCGCGCGAGGACGGCGAGGCGGGGACGGCGCGGCGAGGCGAGGACGGCGCGGCGAGGCGAGGACGGCGAGGCGAGGACGGCGCGGCGAGGACGGCGACGCAGGGCATGGACGGCGAACGGCCAGCATGGACGGAATGACGGCGGACTGAGCGGGCACGCCGGATCGGGCGGGCGGCGCCGGGCAGGCGGGGCGGGTCGAAGCGAGCCTTGGGCCGATGCCGAGGCGATCTGGCGGGCTGGGCCGGGCGGGGCGGGCGGGCAGCACGGGCAACGATGAGGGGCTCATGGGCGGCTGGCCAGTGAGGAGGGGCTGGAGGTGGCTGGGGCAATGGGGGGGGGCGCATGGGGTGGCCTGGGTGTGGGAGAGGGGGGGGGGGCCATGGGATGGATGGCCACGGGGAGGGACCAACATGGGGGCGCGCCTTGTGGGAAGGCCACATGTGACGGGGAGAGCAAGGCATGGGGGAGGAGGAGGAGGGGATCCGTCTTGTGGGAGAGAGAGAGGAGGGGGAGGGGAGGGGGAGGCACTGGGGGCGCCATGGCGGGCCGGGGGCAGGCCGGCATGGGGGCGGCCTGGGTGGTGGTGGCATGAGCGGGTTATTTGGGGCAAAGGCGGGATTTTGGGGAGGGAGGGCGGGCCGAGCGGATAAGGCGACGTTTTCTTTTTTTTTTTTTTTTTCCCTTTGCCGCCGACATGTGCATGTGACGGAAGAAAGGTCTATTATTTTTTTTTCAAAATTTTTTTTTAATTTTTTTCAAAAATACTTTGCCGACCGCTTCCGCTCCCCGGCAATCGCAAAAGGTTATTTTTGATTTTTTCTCGAAATTCTTTGCCGATCGCTATCCTCCTCCTAGCGAATAAAAAGTTTCTTGCCAATCCTTATCGATGGCGATCGGCAAAAGAATTAATTTTTTTTTTTCCACCGATTTTCGATCCAGTTTTTTGTGTTTTTTGCTTTCTGATGGTAAGTACATGATATATTCAAGTTTGGGGTCATTTGATTTATTTTGCTATATTCCATTGATTTTTTTGTTTCTTTGACATTTTTAGGTAGCTCGATTTGAGCTGCGACCGCTACATGATTTTAAAAATGGAAAAACGATTGAGAAAATGATATTCATGATGTTTGGAGCACCAACAGGCCGAATTTCACGCGAGGCCTCGCGTGAAATTCGGCCTCAACATGCTCCAAACATCATGAATATCAGCGTCAATCGCCGATTCCATTATTTCATGTACCGCAGTTATCAAAACTGAGCTACCTAAAAAATCAAAGAAACTTAAAACATCTACTAATATAGCAAAATAAATCAAAATGATCCCAAACTTGGAATATATCATGTACTTATCAGATCAAGGCAACACAAAAACTAGGATCGAAAAAAAAAAAATAAAATTTTTGCCGAACGCTGGGGAGGATGGCGATTGGCAAAAGCTCGCGCTTTGCCGATGGCCGACGGAGTGGCGATCGGCAAAGGTGACGGTGTGGATGGCGTCAACCATGGCCTGCCTTTGCCGATCGCAATTATTTGCCAACCGCTCGGCAATCGGCAAAGCCAGGCGATCGGCAAAATCTCGCTTGCCGATCGCAGGAAATTCCAGTTGGCAAAGGGACCTCTTTGCCGAGTGTCGAAAAAAACAGTTGGCAAAGAAAATTGCAGTCGGCAAAGAGCCAGTTTCCTGTAGCGATTGCCGCGCGAATCTTCTTGACGGAGACGGAGGTAGCTAACTCGATCAGACTAATCAACATATCAAATTAAACAGCTGATTCAGGCCAGCATCCATGCATGATTACTTCCCTGCACGTCAATATCAGTAGTCTAGGTCCTGCCTGCTGCTAGTTTTTGGCCGTCCCCGTACGTCCGTGATGCATATCGATCGCTTATTGTGCTAGCTTCCAATGAGAAGACACGGATTGTTTTTCTCGTGTGTTCAAACTTATAGCTGCTTGTGACACAAGGCAAGATCGACCATCATTCCCCTAAACCTCCACCTCTATATCGTGTGATTTATAACTCTTTCGGTTAGCCTCAACACCTCCTCCTCTATTTAAGCAGTGATATCCCAGTTCCATGCATCAAACCGGCCTCAAACATCCTGATCATCATCCCTGCTTAGGAACGCACACCTCGATCGTCAATCTTGTTCTCTATCTGCAGTCAGCTCTCCATTTCGAACGACGAAATGGTTAATTCCTCTATGCTGTGCACGGTGGTTGTTGCGGCGTGCCTCGCCGTCGCCGCTGCTGACTGGTCTCAAGGCACTGCCACTTTCTACGGCGGAATCGACGCGTCCGGCACGATGGGTAAGAATGCATGCATTCATTTCTGCACAGGAGGTCAAGAACTATTGTATAGATGGTAATACATTTGTGTACGTATATATACCAAAGAATCACTTCGTCGCTAATGCATGCATATTTATGATATGATACACAGGTGGCGCATGCGGGTACGACAACCTGTACAACGCGGGGTACGGTGTCAACACCGCGGCGCTGAGCCCGACCCTGTTCAATGACGGCGCGTCGTGCGGGCAGTGCTACCTCATCACCTGCGACCCAACACGTCTGGGTGGCCAGTGGTGCAAGCCCGGCAACTCCATCACTGTCTCCGCCACCAACCTGTGCCCGTCCAACTACGCACTGCCCAACGGCGGCTGGTGCGGCCCGGGCCGCCCGCACTTCGACATGTCCCAGCCGGCGTGGGAGCACATCGGCGTCGTCCAGGGCGGCATCATCGCTGTCCAGTACCAGCAGGTCAAGTGCTCGCGCACCGGCGGCGTGCGCTTCAGTATCGCCGGCTCCCAGTATTTTTCTGCTCGTCAACATTCAGAACCTCGGAGGCAGTGGCTCCGTGGGCGCCGCCTGGGTGAAGGGCGACAAGACGGGGTGGATCCAGATGTCCAGGAACTGGGGCGCTAACTGGCAGGTGCTCGCTGGGCTCGTCGGCCAGGGCCTCAGCTTCGCCGTTACCAGCACCGGTGGGCAGTACATTCAGTTCTGGAATGTGGTGCCTGGGTGGTGGCAGTTCGGCCAGACCTTCACCACAAACCAGAATTTCTACTACTAAGAGCCTACTGCCGACGCCGAGGAAGCTCGATCTCTCTCCTGACTCCTTATTTGCCCCATTTCTTGCAGCTCAGTCGAGTGGCGAGTGCATTCTCTTGATTCTGACGGAGAGCTAAGTGCACTAGCTTGTTGCCGTTGTATCATTGCTTCTTTGGCGACCCCCGGACTGACGTCCATCCTACGTGAGGGTAGGACGAAAAAGAGAAGGGGATCGGTGTTATCACGTACACCTGAATTCTTTTTACAACTTTGTAGTACGACACATTTTTATCTTAACACCGTATGGGTAATATACACCGAATTATGTATAAGTTCTATCAACAATGTGTAGACTGTGAATTTGCCTACTGTGGATACATTTTAATTAGTTCCATCTGGTCAAGATTTCTAGTTATTCCAGGAAAGAATAAATCAGTGTGTTGCCCTATTAATTTCCTCGCTAAACACATAGTATGTATTTGGTTTGTGTTTCGTCTCTGGCCTGCCTAGCTAGCTAAGCCTAGGCAACCCAAGCCTACTTATCCCTAGGGGGTCCTTGTATATGAAATGTCAATATACAAGGTCGTACGGAAAATCTAAAATTTTGAATTTCAAATCAGAGAACCTAAATTGAATATTTAGGTTTCCAAACGATAGTAAATAATTTTTTTTACCTGAGTTGAACTCGCTCAAGCGGGAAGCGAGCACCGTGCCGCGCACTGCTACTGGCCCCCCTCGTCATGGCGAGCTCCTTCTTCTTTGGGGGTGTTGGCCCTAGGTGTTGACCCAGTGCAGCTTTGCCGGAGTTGATTGCCCGCAAGGTGTTCGACTGCTGGCCCTAGTTCAAAGCTGTTGTTTGTGGAGTCTGCTCGCGCTGCTCATTCACCGTGTGGTGACGCAACGACGGCGGAGGCGGGAGTTGAACGCGGCGCTGCCTCACCACGGTCTTCTGCCCCCGCTGCAGGCCGCTTGGCAGCGGCGCCATTCATGAAGCTCGCTGTGCTGGAAATGCTGATGGCCCTTGCTCACCCGCCTCTGCACTGAGGCTGTTCTTGATTGTCCCAAAAGGTGTGTTCTCATACTTGCTCACCGTTTTTTCTTCTCCTACTTTTGCCGTTATGGAGCTCCTAGGCCTCTCCTTCACCCCGGGGCTTAAGCTCCAAGATGAATTGTGTCTTGAACTGGGTCTTCCTATTTCCCGTGCTTCCCTAGTTCGTTCCTCCTTCATTCTTGTTGCTGCTTTTGGCCACTGCAAATTCCGGCTTCCTTAAGAGTCTGTGGGCCTCATCCTTCAAGCCACCATTGGATGCGTTGCTGCACACTTCAATATGGCCAGGCTTGGTGATCAAACTTTCAAGTTCCATGTTTCTTCCCGAGAGGTCGGTTTTTTGTGGCTCGCCTTCTGTCCTTGACTTGTGATGCTTACAAAGTCTTCTTCTTTCTTTGGGGTAATGGTGGTCCCAACTAGCGCCTTGAGTTCCAATGTTTCCTGAGGAAGGAAGAAGCTAACTCTTGGTCCTCGGTTTCGAATCGTCCTGCTCACAAGTCCTATGTTGAGGCGGTTAAATCAGTCCCACTTTGTGGCGCTAATGCCATCCCCTTGGGCAGCCACCGTCTTTTTCGTCATTCTTCTCTGGCGCCGGCGCGCCGCCCTGTTTTTGAGCGCTTGCGCCGCTCTATTTTTGAACGCATTCTCTTTCCTTCCTCTGCTGCCCATGCTTCCTCTGCCTCATTGAATGGCAGGCCTTCGCCAATCACTACTGGAAACTCGAATATTTCTGTATGTGCAAAAACCCACGGAAAAATTCGAATACCTACGAAAAAATATTTTTCTGACAATGTACCATCAGAAAATAACACACAGAAATAGAATGACAGAAAAATCAAATTTTTCTGTGGGTGTCAGAAACAATTTTTCTGTGGGTCTCACACGCACAGAAAAATTATGTTTGCCCAGATTAAAACTAATTTTTCTGTGTGTTAATCCACACAGGAAAAAAGAAATAAACGTATAGAAAAACACATGTTTTTTTCTGTCGGTCTAGGTGAACTCACAGAAAAATTCATTTCGCCCAGATTAAAAAAAATATTTCTGTGTAGCCAGCCTCACAGGAAAAAAGAGTTAAACACACAAAAAAAATTATTTTAAAACAGTAGCAACAGCATATTAAAATATATATTTTCCATACAGTACTTTCTGTGCATGACCAACAAGGTTTCATTCAAATAATACATAAATCAGTAGTTCATCATGAATGGAGTCAACACTTATGTCAAAATAGACGATGACAGTCTGCCTCCCGCTTTGCCGCCTCGCTACTGAGCTCGAGCGACCTTGGGGACAGGAGAAGGCCACCGAACTTCTGCATTGCCAGCAGCAGCCCGATCACAAGAAGCACGCACAATGTATTCTCGAGTTCATTCAGGCTCGCGTGATGTGATTTACCTCGGTCCGGGACTCCGTCGAGAGAGCGGACGACGGCGGCTTCCGTCGTGCCTAGCCTGCTCATGCTGAGAACCTTCAATCAAAGACAGGCAATACAGATCAGCAGACGAGAGGATAGTAAGCCAGACAGCATGGAACATAGGAATGGTGGTGGTGGTGAGCGAACCTTCACTTGCACTGGAGAAATTTGACGATTCGATGATCTCTTCAAGCATGGATGCCTTGTCGGGTCCAAGACAGGATAAACGCAGGTTTCGTAAACTGATGTACTATGATCGACTATTCTTTGACAAGAAATAGTCGAAGAGGATGCAATCGAGTACCCTGTTGGAGTTTGGAACGAGCTCCTGTAAGTTCTTCAGATTGAAACCTTTTTACGGCAAAAAACATTTATCCACTTGAATCTTCAGCATGGAATGAATTTTGTTACTTTTAACTTTGATTATTTTTTCCCTTCTAGCTTCTATTATTTCATCACACTTCCAAGTGCATTTTTATATATTAGTTTCCATATTAACATTTATTGTTGTTATTATTTTTGTATTCATCCTATAGAAGGAAAATTTGTACTCCCTCTAGTCCCCTGTCAAACCGGTTTGTTAAGTGTTGTTGTAGAAATTTTATTAGGCTATTCACCCCCTTCTCTAGCCATTAGGACCTTTCATTGGGGGGGGGGAGGAGAGGGGGTGCTGGGGCCGGGAGGAGAGGGGAAGAGGTGGCGCCGGTGGGGGAGGGGCTGGGGCTGGGAGGAGAGGGGCGCGCTTGGGGGGGGGGCGCTGGGGGCCAGGAGGAGAGGGGGCGGGGGCCCTAGGGCCCGGGAGGAGAGGGGAAGAGGGGGCGCTGGCAGGTGTTTGGGGGTGGGGTTAGGGTTAGCACTTCTTTGTTTTTTTATTTATTTTATTAATAACATTTTTCTGTGCGTGCATATATTTTTTCTGTGCGTTTTTAAAAAACCGACAGAATAAATTGCATTTTTCTGTGAGTTCTTATTTTTCCGTGTGTCTATTGTCACGCACAGAAAAATCATATAATTATTCTATGGGGTTTCGTATTTTTCTATCGGGATATTTTGGAACCGACAGAATAATCGTAATTTATCTATGCGTACCAAAAAACGCACAGAAAAATTCATCACCCACAGAAATATTCGAGTTTCCAGTAGTGTATGGGCTGCAGCCGCTGTCTATCGTCTGGTCACCTACAAGTCAATTGTCGCTGGCCAATACGTTGCCACGCGTGCCGAAAAACAGGTCATGTTGCCGCAATGTGCAATTACTCTAAGATCTTAGAAATGGGACAGGATCCTAGCAAAAATAAAGGGAAGGTGGCCACGACATCTAAGCCTATGTGGTTTTCCCTCGATTATAATGCCAAGCCTTCCTCTTCAAAGCCATCCGTCTTCAATTCAATTGGTTACCTGGCTCACCTGTTCTGGGATGCCAAGGAGACCGTGCCCCAACCGATTCATGTCCCCTGGAAGCTGAGGCCCAATAGAGGAGAAAAGGCCTCTAGTGCTAATGTTGCTGTCGTTTATATGGCCCTGGATCCCTCTGCTTGGAAGCTGTGTGGCTCTTCGTCTTCTTGCCACACTCACCGCAACGCGGCAACAGTTGAAACCGAGAAAAACCCTCCTCCTGTGATACAGTGCATCTCGCTCTCCACCCAGCAAGCTCCCTCCTTGAGTGCAGACATGGCGTATCAACGTGCTGATCCAGAGCCCTTCATCCCGGAGAACCTGCAGCATGAAGACATCCCAAACCGTACCTTCATGGTTCGGGCCGTAGCTCCTTCCAGGCCACCAAAGAGGTATGAAGACCTCACAATCGTCACCATTGAACCCCTTCCGGGTCATGCTCTTCAGTTTGGTGCCGTTAGAGGAGTTCTTAGGGATTTATTCCACCTTGAAAAGCACATTTCTTATCATGATATCCATCCAACTCACCTCGGTCAAGCTCTGGTTCACCTCACTCATGCTTATCATCGTGATATCTTAGTTCAAGAAAGCCCTCACCCTTTTGATAATATCATGATCACCTTTCACAAGCACAATGAAGGAAGGAACTAGAGAAGGGCTGAATTTAATCATGAGTGTTGGCTTCTTCTCTTGGGTTTCCCCAATGATTACTGTAGTGAAAGGCATGTCCAGAATGCAGTTGGCTCTTTTTCTAGGGTGATACTTTGGGAAGTAGATGACATATGTTTTAATCGCATTCTGGTTAGGGCTAAGGTTAAAGATGTGGAGAAGGTTCCCCAGTTCATCATGTATGAAGATCCAGATACTATTGATGGTGAATCCTGGACTGTCTAGTGTGATGTTTTGCAGCATAAGCCACAAAATGGAGGCCCCCCTATTGAAGATCCTATACCTGTGGATCTTGATTCAGAACTTGGCAAGCCTTTTGACTTCTTTGGATTGGGCTAGCCTATCAATGGGCCAGTTGTGCCTGATGAACAAAACCAAGGGCAGTAGTAGAATGCATGGGATCCCTGGCCTGTGCAGTAGAGGCCCAAGATCAGCAAATGGAAGAGGCCCAGGACAATGAACCAGCTCTGAACCTGAATGCTATGTCATAATC